ATATTGAATAAAGTAGATGCCATTTCCTGCATTCTGGTGTATTTTAAACACGGAAACAGTAAGTTCTGTAGGCTACAGTTAAATTTCAGCTGTATCTGTATCTGCTCTGTATCTGTTCTTGGTATAAATTTGGTGTATCTAGTTTTTAAACATCTACATTTACCTACATATGCAAACACTTGATTCAATACTTATTTTAGAGAGTACAGCACAACAAGAAGTAGCCTGACCAACAGCTCTCCTTGTGTAAGTAAAGCATGCTCTGCTTCTCTCACGCATCCTAACACCATCAACTCGGTCAACAACTGCTGGCACTAACGTAGCACTAAGCTAGCGCAGAACACATAGGTGTCTCCCCCTCCTCCCCTGTCCTGTTGACAAAAAACCCCGAAGAGATGAGCACCCTGCCAAGCCAAATGACCGAGGAGAAACACTGCATGTGGTGTGGTGAGTTGTTGTAGGTAACCAGGAAAACCTGGAATGCACTTTTAGTGGTTTGAGTATTCTCCTATTAATGAAGTGGAATGGATTCATTCACAAAAAAATAGAAACAGTGCTGCGTGAACTAATATTTTATGGTAAATGTGGGGGGTTCAAATGAATATTTTTTTTAAATGTGAGGGGGACAAATCCCCTTCACATATAATTAATGTGACACCTAGTCACTGGGATGATTTGTAGATATCAACAACTTCCTCAATCTGCTGGTGCAACATGCTGTGCAGGGGCTTATCTTTCCATGATGGTTCCTATTGTTATTCCTCATCCACATTTGGGTTTTTACTGCTAGATACTTTCACTTTGCATCTCATCACTGGCTTCCCTCTTGATGTACTCCAGGATCTTAGTCGTTTCATCCTGGTTAGTGGCTCTGAAGCTCACTATTCCTCTGCCTCCCACCTTCCTCTGAGGTGTTGGACTTATGTAGCAGTGGCAAACTACGACTATAAGAACTGAACATTTGGCTAGAATATAATAATGTGTAAACCTGATAAATACCAACATCAATGTCACTATGAAGTTGTGAACCAATTTCGTCACTTTACTCGTAGTTTCACAATTCATAAAACTCGCCGAACATGAAGTACTTTATCCATTTTTTATACATCAGCATCTGACTGATGGTGTCGTTTATTTATTTATTTATTTATTTTTTTTTTTTTTACAGTATCTAACATTAACCTGAACATAAATGTCAACCCAACACTAAACAGAAGAACAAACAGGAACAACCAATCTGAACACAGAACCTGAAAAAGTCCACGACTACCCAGCAGGCCCTGCGGCTCACCCAGCTTCTTGTGTTCAAGTACCACATGTAATTTCAACAATTCACACGGAAATGTAACAGTAGCCTACAGAACTTACTGTTTTCATCAAATTTCATCAGATAATGAAATTAAATACAACTGTAATATTGAAAATGTTCAATGTGAACCTAAACTCTCCTTTCTTAGAGCAACTACAATTTCAGTGTTATAATTTATTTATTTATTCACAGGTTGCAAGTGGATGCATCACCAACAAATAAACTAAACAGCCTGCAGGGATTCTTGAAGACGAAGCACCCTGCGATTTAATCCCACCCACTTTGCATCAACATCGTGATTGATTGATAACTGACAGGAAAATTAACATGATGAGTTAATTTAATTAACTCATCATGCAGAGGCTTTAACTGAGCTGTGCCTTCTCTTCTGACAGTGAATGCTAACATGTGATGCTAATGCTAAGCTAACTAGCATGCTAGGCTAACGTCAACCAATGAGAAAACTCCTAGCATGTTTCTGGTTGGAGATGCAAATTTCAAAGACTCTAATTACAGTTGATAACTGTATTTGCATGATTTCAAAAGTTTTATGCTCAACCGAAAACTACATTGAACCTATATTATATATAAAATGAATATTAAATAAAAATTTAAATGTAACATTTGGTATGTGCTGAATTTATGGGCCTTTTCTGAAGGCCTGGAAGGTTCCACAGTCTTGGCCTCATTCGACTAGCTGTTAGCACATCACTCCAGACAGAACTAAATTATAGTTCTTCAAGCATAGAAATCAAGTAAGTTAATAATTGTTCATAACTTTTCAAAGAAGCCCACTTTCTGAACTTATTTGTTTTTTTTTAATAATCTTTGAATTATATTTTAAGTTTTAGAAAAGGGAACAAATACAGTGCAAATGAAATAACACCTCCAGTATTAAACTAAAGAAAATATAAATCTCAAGAGTAAGACCCAGTAACTGCTACCTTAGCTAGTAATCAAAACATTGCTATTCTCATCCACAAGATGTGTTTCAGGGAATAAAAAAATTGACTAGTAAATGTGACTAATTATTTGTATAAAAAGTGGGAAATTTCTGATACACTGTAATAATAATGAAGATGGGATTGCCACAGATTGCCACAGAAACTGAACCGGAGATTTAGTTTATTCTGGTGAGAAATAAACCAGAACATAAAGTGAATGTAACAAATAGAAATTAGTATAATCCTCTAATAAATCATCCAATAGACCATTAGGTCTCATTGAAGTTGTTTGAAATGTTTGAGGTTAATTAAGAAAATGTTTCATAAAAATAGGTGTTTCTAAGGCAGTAGTTGCAGTAATCTGGAGCGTGTTCAGGATGAGATTCAGGCTAGCGTTCTGCAGGCTGCAGCAGCGTGAGACTGACCTTACTTCCAGAGTCCTTGGGTCCACACTCTCCCTTGTCATACCACCATTTGTTTTTCAGTTTGTCTAAGACGCCTGCTTCGCTCAGTTTCAAAACTGCAAGGTTTACCGGGGTTCTTTGCGTGTAAAAATAACATAAATAACATCATAGGACATGTTATTTTATGTTATTGTAGTATGTCACATTTGCATTGAACTTCTCACATAGAAACTCTTCATGTTTGGTGACCTAGAGTGAATCCCACTGAGTACATGTGTGTACGCCCGTTGAAAGAGGGGCTGGGGGGGAAACGAAGGAGCTAAGTCGAGCTACAGACATATGAGTGGGACCCACCTTTGTCACTTTAGGTAACACACCCATTTTGCCCCAGCTGAGCTCACAATAAACTAGAGGACGTTACTGTCAAGACAGGACTACCAGCATCGGGTTCTGTGTTGTAGCTCGTTGAGACAGTTGCAGTGCAGCAGCTTAAAATACAAAGCTTAGTGTTTTTCCAAGTCACAAAGAAGCAACTTGCTTACAGATCTGCTAGTTTATTGCACCCTTAACACCTTTATATAAATTAGTTTCTTTGCAAAACTCTCTAGTTTTGGATAAACTAAGTATTGGCATTTATCTGATGGACAGCTGGAAAAAGTTGTCCAGAGGTTTGTAGTCTTCAAGGTGATTTTTTTCTGACTTTGTTAATCCATCTTGTGCCAACAAGAGGTCAAAGCTTTCACATGCAAGATAAAATATTCCATCATCCCCTTTATAGTACAGATTGGCACAAAACACTTTTGGCTCACCTTCTAAAACCCCAAACTCGATTAAGATTTCAAAGACAAGTAACCTTAGTGTTCTGTGAGGAAATGAAATCCCTTCACAGTGACTCCCCTAAATTCTTTACTGGCATTAAAACGCTCCTCTCATGTTGCTCTTCCACAAAGTAACGCTAATTTGCATGAACTAGTTAGAAGAGTGCAAATTCAGTGCAGCGTGGAGAATGTAAAAAAAACAAGAACTTTTTGTCTAATTCTTGCTAAATTGCAATTTTTCTAGATTCAGTGAGTTCATCACTTTATTTGTGACTTAAATATTGGACTGTTTGCTGTATAGTGGGTTTAGTACGGTGGCCCCGAGGTTTAAACGAACAATATATTAAAAAAAAAACAACAGAATTACATTTCAAAAAAACGAAATGACAAATTTTAGGTGAATATCTTTTTTGTTTACAATTTTCATATGTTTTGCTACGTCTCTGTTCCAAATAATGTTCCTTAAATTCAAACTTGATCTGTATATGTCAAATTGTTTGTACAAATGTTGACATTAAGAGGTATGACAGAGGATTCTTCACAAGATTATCAATTTTTTTGTTTGTTTTTTGTGTTCTATAAATAAAGTAAAATAAATAAATAAATAAATAATAAAATATATATATATATATATATTTTTTTTTTTGCACCAATTCTGGTTTGGCTTAGTGCAATTGTGCTTTTTCAAATGTTTTGTTTAAACCTCAGGGCCACCGTAGTTTAAATCAAGTAATGGGTTATAATTCCCATAGAAATTATCACAATTATTGTCTAACTTTTTCTCTACTTGCCACCAACAAATCAAATTCTAAAACATGTCCAAAGCTTTGTTTTGTAAATGTACACTGTTCTCATGCTGATGTGGACACATAACACACTATGTACAGCTGTTTACTCAATAAATAATACTCTTAGAGCTCAACTTGTCCTTAAAGTTGTTGAATATTGTCTTTTATAAACCATTAACTGAACAGACCTACTTTGCTCTCTGATTTTATATAAATCTGTCAAGGTGCAACTTATAGGAACATACAGAGGAAAGAATTATATCAGTAAAAATAGAAGATAAACCTTTTTTTAATTATTCCTCTTGACATTTGCTTTGAATCAGCCAGAGCACTGCATTGTCTCATTGATACAACTGTGTGTTTTTCAAATCATAATTTTCAAAGCCTGCACAGTCTGCTTGAATTTCAGGTTATTTAAGATTCAGTTAGTTTATCTGAATATTCATGATTTTCCCCCCAGAATTGCCACCAGGGGGCAAATATTCCTGTCTTTACAGTAATTGCTCTTTTTTTGACCTTCATGCCCTTTTCAATTATTTTCTTTTCATTATTACTCACTGATTTCTTTTTAAGACATTACCAAATCACAGACAAGCACTTTTGAAAATAAATCTGACATTAGTTTTTCTGCATTTCATGTTCAATAAAGTGATTAAAAAATTTTGGAGAAAAATAATCCATTATAAAAGTTACATAATTGTTAAAAAAAAAATTTTGCTGTGGTACTTTTTGTATTATAATACATTTTGCGTGCACAGATGCAACATTGTACCATTTCAAAGCTGCTATCTGTTTCAGGAGATTTCAAGCTTTCATTTCAATCCTCCCTGTGTTGAGTCTGCTGGGGCAGATGCATGTGTTACACACTCCCAAGACGAGGGCCGCAGCAAACTACTCAGCTAGTGAGCGGCCCCCGTCACCTAGTGGTGGTGGGGGGGCAGACATAGAGGGCTAACCTTGGAATCCCCTCCCCCGCTGCCACATTCTCCTTTGTCATACCACCACTTGTTTTTCAATTTGTCCAACAGGCCCTGCTCGTTGAGTTTTAGCACGGCCAGGTTGACCGCGTTTCTTTAAGTAAAAAAGGAGGGACAGATAAAATAGTTTCGTCAGAGCAGAGGATGGAGGAACAAACAGACAAGATGGATGAAACCACAGGCAGGAGGGGAAGGAAGGGGGAAATATAAGGAGA